CCCCCCTCCCCGCCCCAGTACACAGCAGTTTTCTTTATAGACAAGAGGACTGAGCCTTGAAAACTGAAGGTAATTATTTAGATGCCTAAGGCTCAACTTTGCCATTGTTTTAGAGCTTTAGTTCCTTTCTTTTAAAGAAAACAATTCCCCCCACCCCACAAAACCTTAATTAAAAATTGAGTATGTTTTTGTTCATTTTCCTCTAATCTGCATTTGGTTTTACGTATAGGTATGTAGGTATTTAAATGCTTGTCTACAGTGTCACTGGGAAATTTCCCTGATTACCATGTTCTGTAGTTCTGCTTTTTTCTGATTTTGAATTTTCAGAACTTTGTTTGAGGAAGGCTTAAATATGTATGATTATTCAGTCAAGAAAAAAGAAAAGATTCAATTCTCTCCCATTAGTGGAAAAAGTGTTAAAATAAATATTTAAATGCTGCTCTGTTTCGTACCAGTGATTCCTTTACTGTTGTTTAAGCAGGGAAATAAAGTCTGACAATGTTGAAGCTTGCTTAGATCACCAATACCTTTAGACACTTAAAGTCAAAGGTGCTAATGCCTGTTCTTTTGGGAAACAGGTTAATGCTTTTCTTTTGTATGTCCCTGTGCTGTTACAGCCGATGTTCACACTCAAACTAGAGGCATTTCTTTCTCTCAATTCATGGGAACAGGACAAAAAGTTTAGACTCACTGAACTTTTACTGAAGAGACCAGGATATGGTGGAGTTATTTTTCTCTTAGCTTTTTTTTTTTTTTAAATATTTATTTATTAACCTCTGGTATTGTCTGTTTTACTTAAATACAGTCGTGAACTTGTCTACGTGGAATTTGGAAACCAGTTCCCATCCCTGACTTGCTGCAACTTTTAACTCCTAGAAAAGCCACTATTTATTGTTATTTAAATTAATTTCTAAATATAAAAAGATATACTTGGAAGTCTTGACTTAGCTAGAAACTGCTAAATGTGCGAACAGGAGACCAGAGTTAAGACAACCATTAGTAGAGGTGCTTGAAATAAACCTTTGCTTGAATAATCACAAACAGGATTTAACTGGTTTCAAAAATTTCAGTATGCACGATGTTAAAAACTTCCCTCTGTAAACTGAAGGTTAGTTTTTCAGCATTGTAAAACGTGAATAAATAAACCAAACGATGACAGAAACAGGGGAATGTTGGATGGTTTTAAAATGCTTGAAGCTCTGTACTGCCGTAATGTTATGCCATCAGTTGTGTCCTTGAGGCATAAAGTTTTAACTCTTCATACTCACATTTTCCTTTCCCTTTTCTTGACTTTGCTCGTACTTAGAAAGTAAGAAACATGGCCCTGGAAGATGTAGTGATTCTCAATGTAGACACCAACACACTGGAAACCCCTTTTGATGACCTTCAGAGCCTTCCTAATGATGTGGTACGTATGAAATGATTTATCCAGCTATCCCATTACTAAAAGAGTGTAAATCCTTTGGGCCTGTTCGGTTTGTAACTGAGGTGTCTCACTGTGTTACTCTCGTTATTGTAAGTAAACTGCTTTACCTCGATTCTCTCCTGGTTTTATGTGTTAAGGAATGTTTGTTCGAACATTTGCAGATGTATTTTTAACCCTGCTAATGAAAATTAGCTAAAGCTCCCATAAGCTAGGAATGCTGCAGCAACCCAGTTTCAGTTTTGGAACGGAGTGATCGAGTTTCAGGTCATCTAAAAAGTCTTTTATGGGTAAAACAGACAAATGAAAAATGCGTTGGTTATGGTACATCTGAACAGGAAACCAAAATTCAAACTTCTTCGTGGTGTGAAAAAGTACTACTATTTTAAAACATCTTTACCCATTCCATTAGGAAGAAAAATCCTGTCATTTTTAGATAACATTCGTTTCCAAATGAAATTATGTAGGTGTTTTTCCGTGACTTCTTCCAGGTGAGCTTTAATGAACTTTGTGCGTTTTATATCCTGAGTTACGATATCAAACGGACTACTTCATATTCACTCATACTCAGCATATGTAATTTGGAAGTTAATTTTCTTTCTCATTTAAACTTTTTACTGGTAATTTATTTATTTTTTAATAACTTGGTAGAAATATTGTGTAAGTACTTGATCTTTCCCTTCAATGGGACAAAAATACACCCAGCTTGCTACTTGCTGCTGTAATCATCTTCACTGAAGAAGCTGAGAGGGAAGAGCAGTAAAGTGAGTGAGAGTGTAAAAAAGCTATTTTTAAGTCAGAGGGTGACTGTTTAGGAGAAAACGGCAGGGGAAAATCTGGATTTCTTTTACTAGTTCAAAATATTGTGCTGACAGTTAGATCTATACCTTTTTATGTGTAGTCGAGAAATAAAATTGATATGCAGGGAGCTCAATATGAGCTGGTCTGTTGGAGGAAAAACTCAAGTAATGGTGAATACCCAGTGCCTCCTACTGTGACATCCCGTCATTCCTCTCTGATCTGCAGTGTGATCCGTTCTTCGAAAACAGTGAGCTCTGGATGAAAGGTCCATCTTGATTGTGAACATTTTGGCTTTAGTCAGGCATTTAGTCTATAAAAGTTACTTCCATGAATTTTCTGGCTTTATATAGTTTTTCATTTTGATTTCGCTCCCAGCATCCAAATCTGCCAGCTGGTCATCGCTCCTGCCATTATCCACAACCCGGGAAATGACAGACTTGTAAATGTCATGGAATTATGTAAGAAATGTCTGGATACAGCCAGTGCGGGGCCTCAAACATGTATATGATTTGTCAACAATCAAGTATTATATTAGATTTTATGAGACTTCATTAAAGGAGCTGTTGTAGGCGCACTGTAGAACATCAGAAGAGACTTCACCAATAAACACAGAACTTCAAGCTTTGGAATGTAATAAATTTTAAGAGACTTCCTTCCTTTCATTATTTACTTTTAGTTCACTTTTATAACAGTAGAGAGTTGTGTTTTATTAGTTCAAATTTCTTGATTCGGTTTTCCACAGGTCTATTTAAAAGCTACATTTTATCTTGGAGGATGTTTGGAGCATAGCAGAGGAAGTGCTGCCAGCAAATTCAATTAACTGGCATGGCTCACAAATAGTGTACGTGGTGTATTTTTTTTCACAACTGCTATATAAATACAGCTGGGATTAATATTTGTCGCAACAAAGCCTTAGCTTGAATCGCGTTGCGTTGTGTAATTAACGTTCGGGATCAGTGTTTATGTCTTATTTAGCTTTGTTTCATTATTTTAGCTACCTAGATAATGAAGTATTTTCCTCTAGGTCTTTTCCTTTCCTTCAGACTGCTTAATATTTGGCTTTGACCACTAGAGAGCAGCTGCTCTTCTTTGCAAGAATTGAATTTCTGTCAGTTCTTTCATGCATCATGTGTTTGGAACTGTAAGTGGATCAAGTTGTTCATCTCAGCAGGGAGACTCTAAAGCCAATCCATTATACTTTTTTTTTCCCCTTTTTTTTTTTTTGTTTTGTTTTGTTCCTTTTGCTTCCCTGGGAGCATGGGGAGATTCTGGGAGTGTGTCTCCCCACTGGTCTCAGTCTAAATAGGTGCATTTATGATCTGAGAACCTAAAAATGTCTTCAACAGTTTCATGATCACAAATGGCTCTTGTGTCAAACTCTTCTGCCAGTTTTGCTGCTTAATGTGAACAGTGAGCAATTCATACACTGCTCAATAGACACAAAATTTACTTTGCTAAATTAAATCTATCTATGCTCAACAGTGAGAAAAAGCATCTTCTGTGTTGCAGTTGCCATCAGGTAGTTAATCTGGTGGAAAAGTTTTAAAGCTGTTTCCCCTTCTCCTTGAACAGCTTTTTTAATCGAGTAAATGAGGTCCTATGATTATTTGAGGGCTTTGGGTAGTGAGTTGTGCTTGAGTTTCATGGTAGTGATGTTGCTACACCTAAACTGTTGATTCTTGAGAATCTAGAATGAACTGTTCTTCAGTCTTTTATTCCTAGGATCCAAACAAGCATAGGCTACAGTGAAATGTTTTTCCAGTTAACATTTGTGTCAGAGGAGCTGGATAGCATTGAGACAGTCCCAGCAGAATCAGATTAAGCAATTTCTTTGCCCGGGTTTACCTCAGCAGTACCTGAAACTCAAGGTGTGTACTGCTGCGTTACTGATTAACTATTTGAAATGTGAAAAATTGTCCCTCCTTCACCTTCTGCTTCTGATATGTTGCTGAAAATCTGGCAGCATGAGAACGCCCTGGGAAGTAACTTTCCTTTTAAAATAGTCAATATTAAAAAAAAAAGATTTATTAAGGACTGTGATTACAATAAGTGCATCTGCTGCTGACAAGTCTCCTACACCACCGTCTGTGTTGCAAGGAATAGCAAAGAGGGGGTAGTAATTTTTTTTTATGCAACCCTTATGGATTTTTCATGTATTTCCAAATAAGTGTCATCTTCTAGTCTTAGTTGTAGTCAGAGCTTCATATTACAAGGAATAAAGCATAAGCTCGCTCTGTCAACTTGTAGTTTTTATTAAATGAAGCCCTGATGCAATGCAGTGTACTGCGCCAAGGAGATCTTGCCTATCTGATGGCTGTGAGTATTGTAAATATGCACTAGCCTATGAATATCTTCGGCTGTCAGTAACTTAGCTGTGCATGCTACTGTTGTCCATTCATTAACAAGTTACCACAAGTCGGAAGCCTACGTTACTGTTTTTTCACTTAGTGGGAAATTAACTGCTTTCAGGACAGCAAGAAATTCTAAACTACAACTCTGTAGCAGAACCGTTTTCTTAAAGGTGAATCCATTTTTATTTCTTACACTGTGTTTGCAATAGAATGTTTCTTGCTTTATTCATGTTGACAACTGAAAAGCCTTGGACCTAATTAAAAGAATTTCCACTAGCACCTTTACTGAACCATTTCATTATGCTGCATTGCACAGATTGCATTTTGAAACATGGTGATAGTTTAAATCTGACCTTTAAACCTGAACTGCCAGAAGTATAAAAATCTTCTCTAAAAACACTCTCAGGGTAGACTGCATGTATATATGTCTGTTTGGCTAGCAATAATCTTCATATCGAGTGGTCACAGTCTTTTTTTAATATTACTGCCTTTTAGGCAGGAAACAATCATAATTCTGCTTGTATAATCTGCTTTGTTTTATTTATTCCAGAGTAAACACGGATAATTTTTTTCTTACTTGTTAGTTGCTTTAAATACGTTATTGTTAACATTTTCTTTTTTCAAAACTATGACACGCCTATTGCAGCAGTCTTGATTGAAAGGAGTAAAAGTGGACATACGTAAAATAGATATCCAGCAATGTTTGATTTAGTCTTAGAAGAGAGCAAAAGATCTGAAAGCTTAAAGAATTTGCAAAATACCTGCCAACATTCTGCTTCTATACCAAATCGGGCAGCTGAAACGCAGAAGGGCTGTGACTTGCAACTGAACTTTTAATTTGTTGTAAACCAAAACGTTGAGCCTTTTTCTTCTATATAGGTGGCAAGTTCTTTATCTTCACATAAATGTTTAAAGAAAACCACTTATAAAAACATTCGAGATGGATTTGGAAGTTACTCAGAGCGATGGACATTTTATTGTACTCTTAAGAACTACCTTTATATGATTAACGTAAGTTAATATAGGAGATAAATGCATATTTCATCCTGACAACATCAGACCCCTTCAAACATGGCGAAGCGTGCTGTTTGGGTTTGAAAATGTGATGAAGCTTTTACATTTTGAGGATAACAGAGCTCCTTGAGAGACATTATCTTGAGTGACCAGGAGTGAGCTTTTTATATGGGCAGGATGGACTAAATCTGTTATCATGTATTATGTGATATTATAGCATATATATATATGTGCTTTTGGGCTCATTAATGCGTGGACTGTTGGCATAAGGCATAGCATTCAGATTTATAAACAGTCCTGGACACGCTCTTGGTTAGTTCTGTTAGATGAAATAACTAATGAAATTCCTTCTACAACAGAATCTGCAGAAAATTTAAAAGGAAATGTCTTTGCAACTGTTTGGGTAAACGCAAGCGCAAATACAACATCTGGTTTTAAAAGATGAAAAAGTAGTGCAGAGTATGGATTATGTATTTAACACCTGTAGAGCAAGATGAGGAATCACTTTCCTGCCCTCCCCAAATCTAAGACTACTGAAGGAAGAAGTGATGGGTGTGCTTACGGGGAGGATAAAACTGAAGCATTCCAGAGCAGTTGCGCAGTAGAATCAGCCTGCCATTTGCTACTAAGGCAGGCTGGTAGCAAAACCCTGAGGCAGAAAAAAAAAATCCACTCATCTGGGTAGGATTTTGGAGATAGGGGTGAGGCCAGAATAAGCTTTTGTTAGGAGCTGGAGGATGGGGGGAAGGTCTTGAAAGTTAATTTGACCAGTTGAACCATCAGCTTATATTTTGTGAGGTATTATTCATGCTCTCAGAAAACGGTTGTGTTCACCGCAACAAAATCTGCTTACTCTGTAAATACTATTAGTACAACGTTTTTTGCATGGTGTGTGGTATACAGAGCCACCTCAATGAAGTTTTTCAGACTAGAAATTGAAAAAGGAAGATTTGCTCTTTATTCCTAGAATAGTTTCTGTTTAAATTAATAATATGAATATTTATGGAGTCATTCATGTTCTTCGGCAAATCAACATGACTAGAAATTTCTTGGCTTTCTGCTTCTCTCTGAAATTCTGGCTCCTTCCTGTCTTCTGCATCTCCTCAAACTTGGGGTGACGTGACCGCCTCCTCTAAAACCGCGGGTTGAGTTTCTTTCAAGAATCAATGCCCAGACTGTTGGTTTTGTATTGCTGTGTGTTGTGTGAGATCTGTCTCAAAAACTTAGCCTGCCCTGGTTCTGTCTGCAGCACCAAAAAATTGCTGCTGACCTAACTATTTGTTAATGATTTAACATAACCTATAACTGTTGTGGCACAGGCACAACAAAGCTTGATGTTAATCTCCGAAAGGTTTTTTTTATCTCCTTTCCCAGCTCGTGTTTGGGAAAGCAGAACGCTGTCACTAACAATAATGTAGAGACACACAACCTTACTTCAGTAGTTACTGAGCTCTTAGCGCTAGAAAAGAGACATCAAACTAAGTCACAGCCTTCTTGTGTGTATGAGAAATTCTGAGGCACGGAGAACAGCGTTGGGTGGTTCTCTCAAACTTTACCCCTCAGCGTACGCAGAAAACAAAAGAATATTCAGGTAACCTGGATCGCGGTAGTTTTAACTCGGCACAGAAATGTGTTTAGTGGATATTTGCTAAGTTGTGATCTGCAAGTGTCCCTGTGTAAATGGTAATGAGACCATTAGGGCTGCGTCCGCCTAAAGTGCAGCTCTGTGAGTCCTGAGGTAATTAAACACCTCCGCGGTGGAAGGGAAAGGGCAACGAGGGTTAAGGGAAGAGCCATCCTGCGCACAGGTGGTTTAGATCTCTTGAGAAACAGGAAGGAAAAAAACTTAAGTAGACGGAATGTCGTCGTTAATTTGAGACTTTTTTTAAAAAAAAAAAACAAAACACCACCCTGCCGGTTTTGTTTTCTGGATTGCAGTGGGTGCCCAGGCGAGGCTGCGGGACCTCGGGGAGGGGAGGCCGGGGCACGGCTGAGCCCATCGGCAGAGCCAGCCCTGCTGCCCGGAGGGGGTGTGAGGGGGCGAAACGCCCCACGGCCGAGCGAGCGGGGGGCGAAAACGCGAGGAGGAAGGAGCGGCCATGGGGAACCCGCCGGGCTGGCTGCGCCATCGCCCCCGCCGCCATCGCCTCGCGCCGCCCGGGAGGCGGGAAAAAGGCCGGGGGGTGGTGGGGGTTTAGTTTCTTCGTTTCTCACCATCCAGCTCTATTTTAGTTGGCAATAAATTGAATTAATTTTCCGAAGTTGAGTGTGTTTTGCCCGGGATGCTAATTGGTAAGTGATCTCCCTGTCTTTATCTCGGCCCACGAGCATTTTCGTCGTGTTTTCTCCCCGAGTCCTGCTGAGGAGGGGGAGTGAGAGAGCGGCTGGGTGGGTGGCTGGGAGCCCGCCAAGGGAACCCACCATATGCATAAATAAAACTCTCATTTTTGTTATTTTCCATTAAGCCTCTGAAATACACGGGTATGTAACCTTAAAAGAAAAAAAAAAAACAACTTGTGGCAAACAAATTTTTCAGACCTGCAGAATTTGTTCTTAGCCTTGGTGGTGATGGATGGCCTGATTATGCAGAACAGTTTCTCTGTTAGTCTGATGTTTGAATTAATTTAGGTGAAATTCTTTCATGGATCCTAATCAAGAATGACACAGAACTTCATGGACTACCTTTAAAAGAGGACTCAACAGCATGTAAAAGGCGGATTTTAAGTAGGAGGGAAGGTTGAAATGAAGCTTTTATTTTCCTATTGGTTTCTGAATAGAATCCAATCATATCTTGGAGAAGCAAAACAGCTTGAAAAGTAATGCTTTTAGAACTGAAGACTTCAACTCTGAATTCACAGTGTCACTTTTTGTCAAAACTGCTGCTGTGGTTAGCACATTTTTCATTTAGCTGTGCCCCAATGTGTTAAGCTTCGTTTGTGATATGAGAGTGATCTAGACCTGTTGTGTGATTTCAGGTTTCTGCACTGAAGAGCAGGTTGAAGAAAGTTTCTACCACCACTGGAGATGGTGTTGCAAGAGCGTTTCTAAAAGCACAAGCATCTTTCTTTGGGAGCTACAGAAATGCCCTGAAAATTGAACCTGTAAGTAGGAAATTAGTAGGCATAAGATGTAAATCCGCAGCTGTAGCAGAGAAGAAAGCTAACAGGAATTCGAAGTGTGGTATAATGTACTTCTGTGAAGGTCAGCGTTGTGGCTCTTTGGCTGACTAGTACTGAAAATAGTGTTCCAGTCTCCAAAAAAGAAACAAGTGCAACAAGCACGATCAGTATCAGTCACACAGGGAGACAACTTCTTGTGGAAAGGTATGGGTGTTGCTTGTTTTTGCAGATAGTTGAGTGAGAAGAAAGATGAGTTAGAAAGTGTGAACTAATGTTTGTAGCTAGTGCTGAGTTGACCCTTTTCTCTCACTACGAAACCTGGGTATTCATTGTGGTGTTTTTAAAGATAGTAGATGATACACTTTTTACACAGTATATGCTTAACTGTGAAACCTGCAAATTTATGGAATCATGGAGTTTACAATCATAATTCATTGAAGAAATTTGTGCTTTTGCCGAAATGTGAAGATTGTCTGGAGTTGTAACTATTGACGATAAGTGTTCTCTTAGGGAAATTCAGTCTCTTGCTTCTGGTTCAGAGCTGATCTCTATTTAGCCATGATTAATTGCCATCTGAGCGGGGGAAGGATTCTTCTGTGCTTGATCGTGGGGTTTACTGCTTCTGGTGAGGCACGTTTCCTGCTTACTGCAGGTAGCTTCCTGGACTTCAACACAAATCAGTTCAGCCAAGTGAATGTGTTTCCACATGGTTTGTGACACTCTCGTTTTGCTACTGTGTACTTGGGGGTTCCTTTTCAAGGGTGTACGTTTTGCTGACAGTTGGAGACAGGGTAAATAGTATGAGGAATATTCATCATTCGTGAGATACGTCCCAGAAATATGGGAGGTGAAAAGTACTGACCGCAGAGCGATCCATAGAACATTTCCAAAGTATTCTATGTTCCCTGTTTCTGAAGCAGGGGAAAACTAAGACATGGGCAAGTCAAATGCAGTGATAAATCTGAATGTGTGTTCATGGGCTCGTTGGAACTACTGTTGTTTAGATCTGTGGCTGCTTAACAAGATGATCTCTGTGGAGGACAAAACATCCTTTTGTCTTAATACCCTCTTCTCTCATCTGCAAGCATTTGGAGGCAGAAGGGAATATCGGTGGTAGCAACGGAGAGCTTGAATACCACTGGGAGACGCTGAGTTCTGAGTAAGTAGGGAGGCTAAATAAGTGGAGTGAGAATGAAGGCTTTAAGAAAAGGTGTATTTTGCATTCTCCTGCTCTGTGAAGATTAATGAAGAGTTCTGATGTGCAGAACTCTTAGTTTTAATTATGATGTTAAAGACCAGAAGTTAGACTACAGACAGTGTTTCTTGAGGTTGAGAATGTTTCAGTAAAGTCTCTTCAGTCTTATAATCTTGTTATTTTTAAAGCCAGAGGGGAAAAAATAGCTCAGTCTGAATTTTAAATAGTCCAGTTATCACCATCAAATAAGCATCATTCCAACAATTCATATTCAGGTTTCAGAAATGACTTTTGAAGTCGGCATGAGTCCTTCCACATCTTACTGGAGGAATCCACGTGTCGTGTGTGTGGGAAAAGTAAATTGCACTGACTTGTGTGTGTATGTGTGGGTGTAAGTAGTGGACTTCTAAACCATCCAAGGTGAAATAAAGGGAGGTATTTAAAACGTTGTCCATATAAATTACAAAAATTAAAGCAGCAAGGCACTGTGGCAGTGAGCCTCCTTTATCCGTGTCGGGGAGACACTGACGTCCCTTCATCCATGCAGGCTTCCTTGTTCTCCAATGCTCCTCCCAGTAGTTGCCAGGCAACTCTGGGAATATTGGTGTATGCTTTGCCTGGACGTGTGCGTGAGATTAACTAGTTAAGGGATTTGTGAAGAAAAATAAAAATTTAAATTGCTTTTCTGGAAATACCATCTGGTATTTTGAAGGCTGAAAGTTGAAGATGAACATTCCAAATCAGTTGACAATGGCACACCCCTAGAAAGGGCAACTTTGAGGGACAGCTAACCTGAGGAAGTAGAAGAAAGTGTTTGGTTTGCTTATTATTTCATCACAGAAAACCTGTAAATGTAATTACACAAATATGCCATAAAGTCCAATTTTAATAATCAGAAAATTTTCAGGGCTTTCCTTCCCAAGTCCTTTTATAAATTGAAAATTGAACTTCTGTTTATACACTTAAGTAGTAAGATATAGATAAAGAAAATTTGCAAGTGTTTCATGTGTTGAACATGTCAGAGTCAAATGACCTGCATTGCGTTCCCAGTTTTCCCACAGACATCCTGTGAGGTATTGGACAGGTCGTACGACCACTCCGTACTTCACTTCCATTTTAGAATATGCCAACAGTAAATGCAATTACTGAGAGACTCATGTTAGGAGCACTGCACTTTAAAATTAGTTCAAAACCCTTGGAAAACCTGATCTTAGGAAGATGCAACAAAACTCCAAACAGTAGAGTGTAAAGAGTAAAATAATTAGGAAATAGTTTTCTGTACACTCACATAATTCCATCTTCTACGCGGCAGTTGTGTTCTTTGTTATTTCCTGTCAGCTGATCACCTCAGTTTGCGGATTATATAGTAACAGGGGTTCCAGTTCAAAGTGGTCATGATGCACATCTTGTTGTGTAAATACAGAAGGATGGGAGTTTGTTGAATAGTGGAAGAATCTTAAAGTATGTGCAGCAACTCTTGGATTGCTCTCCATTGATGGATCAGAATCCACAAAGAAAGACTACAGAGATCGTCGTAATTTGCTTTAAAATTTTAATGTCTGTTTGGAAAAAAAAATATATTTTAAAACTGTTGCTGGTGTAGCAGTTGGAAATAATTTTTGATGTATCTGAGACAAATAGAAAAGCAAATAGAAGAAATAGCTTCTAGGAAAAGAATATCTTTTCCAACACCTCCATTCTGGGGTTTTTCTCACCTTCGCACGTCATAAATATGGGACATAAGAAATACCAAACGTGATGTGGTTCTTTGCATTTGCTGTCCCGTAACTCAAGAACTCTGACTGTTCATTTGAAGTCGTTGATAATTAGGATGTAAGTTCAGAGAAGCAGCAGCTTTTCCTCCTCTCCTAGTTTTTGTCTCACAAGACAAATTAATTTTGTAAATCATCTCATCTGCTATGAGTTTTTTTGGGGGGTGAAGCTGTTTTTCAGTACTCTCTGTAGGCCCAGAGTGTGTCATAGGGCAGAATTTAAATTCACATTACACTTCAGCGTAGTAAGAGCTCTTACTTTGTTCCAAAGCTTTTACTCAGAGGACACGAGGTTATGTAACGTGCCCACGGAGCCCGCACCGACCATCCGTGACTTGCTGTTGCTGTAAACTTTGAGGCCTTCAGTGAGTGGAACTTTTACATGAAAAAACAGGTAATACAGTCTGCAAGCAGACTCTTCTGTATCACGGCTGTATGTATTCTGGTGTAACAGAATAACAGACTGAGTTGTGTTTCCTCCTGCGTAGAGGTGTAGCTGTGTTAAGGCCGATGTTCAGTCTGGAGGAGTCCCTGTTAGACGTGAGGTACTTCAGTCCCCACAACCTCTTTGTGCCCTGTGCAGTAAAGGACAGCAGCAGCAGTGTGTTTACTTGGCTGTTTTGAGGCAGCTGTTGGCTTTATGAGTGTTAAGTTTCTAACAGTGACACCAATGCGAGTGTTCTGTTCACTTGAATGACTTCTTTATTTTTTTTTTTATTCCTCTTTTTTTTTTTTTTTTTTTTTTTTTTTT